ACAGGGCTGCGGGTGCCTGGGCTGCAGTCACCTGCAGCCTGCTCTATGGAAGGGTTGCAGGAACTCTGCTCACAGGCTGCAACTGTGCTGCCTGCCTCTCAGGGGGCACGGGCTCTGTAGCCTGCCTGCTTCCTCAACACCCCTCCCAGCCTCACCCACCCACTGGCACCCTGGCTCTCCCAGGGAAGGAAGAGCTGCCGGTGCCTCAGAAGAGACGGGAGCGGGCAGGAATTGCTGCTGGAGGGACCAGTCCGAGGCTTGCCCGGCTGTGCCTGAGCTGAGGCAGGATCCCAGCCCAGGGCAGTGCTCAAGCTGTCTTCCTGAGAGGCAGCTCCACGTCCCGTGGGGTTAGCCTGCCTCCCAGCCACCCCCTCCCCTCCAGCCAGGCCTGGGTGTTGGGGGCTCAACAGGCTGGGGGTTTGGGTGCTGGAGCAGCCCAATCACTGCTAGCCTCAGGTCTGCATGAGCAGGTGTGCACGGGGCTGGTGTGTGCACGCACCAGCAAGGCAGGAGCTGCAGCACACCTGCCAGGGCCAGCTCCCGCCACACGTGCTGGGCGTGTGCGTAGCCGAGCATGCCCTACGCCGGTGCTGCTGGCGTGCGCTGTGTCCTGCTGCCTGTCCTGCCCTGCCCGCCCCAGGAGGGGGTCTCCGAGCCAGTGGGCAGGCGGGAGCGCTGGGGTGGCTGGCATGGGGTGGCAGAGGCACAGGTACCTTGTCCCTGTGCCCTGGTCACTGGGGAGCTGTGCTGCTCCCCGGGGCTCATATCATCTCAAAGGCACAGCCTGGTGCAGTGTGGTGGCCTCCCAGGCTTGAGTTCCCATGGGGAACAAGGTACAAGGACAGAGCCGAGGAGAGTAGGTGGCAAGAGGAGAGTGGGCTGTAACAGGCAAGGATGCAGCCCCACTATGGGGTCATGTTCCCTTGGGCCAGAGGATCCAGGAGATAAGGGAGCAATAACCCACCAAAATTCATGCCTTGGACCACTCCAAGCACAAATCTTGCATCCCCTCTCCTGCTTGGTACTGGTGGGGCTGTCCTGATCTCCAGGCACCCCCAAGTCCCAGCTCATCCCTCCAGCTGCCTGCTGCTGCTTGTGGTGGGTGCTGCCGGTGTATGAGGGACCTGGCGGGAACTCTTGGAAAGCACTGTGCTGCCAAAGCAGTGCCTCTCGGTGCCAAGCACCTGGGAGCCAGATACTTCCCCAGGACAGGAAGGAGATAAAAAGAAAATCTCTTTCAAAGTGCAGCCAGTGGGGTGCCCCGCCATGTGATAGCTGCGGCACACAGGTCGCCCAGGCGAGGGAAGGAGGAGGCGCTGGTGTTCCAAAGTCTGCACCCACGCGGGCCTTGGACGGTTTGTTGGGGAGGAGACGGGGTGCATGGCCACCTGCCCATGCTGTGGCCCTCCTGGTTATGCGCAGGCATGGGGTGAAGTGGGAAGGGCCGACCCTTCTGGGTGGGTTCATACTGCCGCTCCTATGGAAGGGGAGGTCTGCCCCAATGGAAGGGGGGTCAGCCAAGTGGACTGTGGTTTGGTAGGAGAGAAGCTGGGAGCCCCCAGAGGCAGCAATTGTCTGAGCTGCCCCAGGTGGCTGCACAGAGCCATCTCCCATGCTGCCCCATCAGTTTTCTGCTTACCCCAAGCCTAGCCCTCGAGACAGGTTCTGGTGCCGAATCGCCTATCACACGAGACTGTAGATGACAGCGTGCCTGAGCTCCCACCCGCAGCGAGCTGCTCCACGGCAGGATGCGGGTGCTGGCACAGGGAGGCGGGTGCCATAAGAGCCGGGGACGCGGCAGCGGGTGGCATGGGAGCATGGCAGGGTGGCCCTGGAGAGACTGCGGGACTCAACCCTGTTAACCTTGCAGCTTCCTCCCTGGGATCAGGGCATCTGGCCAGGATGCTTTCCCAAAAAGAGCCGCTATCCACGTGTAGTTGCCTCTGGCAGGCTAGAGGGGACATGGTGTTCCCATCTGACAGCCTCTTGAGGTCCCTTTGTCTGGGTGTTTCCAGAGCTGTTGTGGCTGGCACACCTGGAGAAAGGCAAGTCCCCAAGGTAGGTCAAAGCAAAACACTTGCTGCGGAAAGGGAAATTAATTATAGGCACTTTGCTGCACTCCAAGCAACTGCAAAGGCTGATGTTTCTCCTGTTGGCCGATAAACTAATTGTAATGACAAAACCTCAACAAAAGCAACGCTCTTAAATGCTTTCTTAATTAATAATTCTCAATAATTACTTGACGTCAATGACCAATAAACATTTCAGAGAAGGGAAGTTGCTGTTAAGTCCCTGATACCTTTGCTCCTCCAGTCACTGCGCCTGGGTTCCTGCAGCTCTGATGAATCCCACAGAAAAGCACAGGGAAGGCCAAGCCTGATGATTTTAAAGGAAAACATTAAGCAGTAAAAAAGTGATTATTCACGTGCATGTCCACAGGGAAAAGAGGAGGGAAGCTGAGCAATTGCTCAGCGCTGCTGCTCCCCACTGAGCGGCTAGCAAGGGATGGCAATGCCGATGGGCAGGTTCCCCAAGGGGTGGCACCCATGGGTGCCCCTTTCCTGCCCCTCCGGTGCTGCTGAGCCCCCGGTGGGGTGCTTTCCTGGGGGCAGCATGAGGGGGAGGGCACCTTCCCAGGGAGCCCATGTTCAAGGGGTCTTTGCGGCCCTGCTGAGCGTCCTGCACCCACGGAGGGTCACCTCCGTCCTGCAGGCATCCACCGCGTGCCTCTTCTTCTTCCTCCTCCTCCTCCTTCCCATGGCCTATCTGAGGGCAGCATCTCCCGACTTGGCGCTGCCAGGCCTGAAAGCATCACCAGCTGCATTTCATTGGGTGGGAGTCAGGGGGACCCTGGTCCATCTGCTGTTACGTGGAGCCTCGGGAAACCTGCCATTCATCCTCACCAGGGTGCTCCTGGCTGCAGCACAGTGCCAGAAGGGTTAATGTTGTCATCCTCCTCCTCCTCCTCTTGGCTTCACAGCCATCTTAAAACCGCTGGAGCCGGAGCTGTGCAGTCCCTGTTCCCACTCCTTTTACAGTATGGGCCGGCTGGCCAGCCGGCCCGCCAGGGAGCCCAGCCGGCTCCTCCATCGTCTGACTCCTTTCCTTCTTTGGATGTCCCCTGCGCTTGCCGCCCAGGCACTGCCTCCCTCCCATGGGACCCATGCCCCTGGCGAGGGGCGATGGCCAGGGCGAGGGGCTGCCCGGGGCCCGGGGGGCGGCAGGCATGGAGTGCGATTTTTGCAGAGGTTTCTCTGGGACGGCACTGGGTGTCTGCCAAGATGGATGCCAGCCGGCTCCCGGGCATGGTTAGCACTTAACGAACCCTTTATAGCTGCAAATCCCTTGGCAGGTGTTAGCAAAATCCTCCTGCGGGGAAAGGTGGGAGAGGGTCACTGTTGTTAGCTGGAGGGTGAGGGGGGCGGCACAGCCAGGGGACATGAGCTGTTCAGGGTGAAGGAGCCTGTTGCAGAGCATCGCATCAGGGATGGCGACAGGCTCCTTCCAGCAAGACAGCAGCAAAGCCTCACCCAGCATATGTCACCATCCAAAATAAACTGCGGTCCTGCGGGGGCAAAAGCAGTTATGCCACAGGAGGCCCCCCCCAGCCCGGAGAGCTGCAGGCAGGGAGGGCAGAGCTGCAGACAGGGAGGCTCTGCTCCCCTCTGAGCTATTCCCCCAACTGCCACCCCCTCACATCTGGACTCGGGGGCCCAGGGGGTGTTTGCTGGCAGCTGTGGGAGAGTTGCTGGAGCATGCGCTGCTGTTGTCATGACGGACGGACGGCTGTCTGTCAGGACAACAGCAGCGCATGCTCCTGGCTCCACAGCCCCAGTGCTCCATGGCCTGTTACCCAAATACCAGCTACTGCCCAAGGGTTTATGCCCCCTGTGAGCCTGGGGAAAGCAGGGGAAAGGCCTCTGGGGCTGAGGGGGGAGGCAGAAGCAGGGCGTCCGTGTGTTCCCTCTCTGCCGCTTCAGCAGATGTCAGCACAGGAAGGAGGAGGTCATCCAGAGATCACGTTTGGGGGTTTTTTGGGTTGCTGTAAGTCTTTGTGCATAGGATGGTCCCTGAGCAGGGAATGAGGGGAGAAGGGGGAGCTGCCCCCAAAGGCATGGGGAGGTGTCTGATGTGCTCCTGCCTTGTGAGCCCAGACATTCCCCCAAAAGAAGGGCTGTGGCCATCTGTAAAGTCTGGCTGAGGAACATAGCATGGGACTGGCCAGCTCACCCCGAGCGTGGGGATGCAGTGAGGATCAGACTGCTTCAGGCTTCTTCATGCTCTGAAAACATGAAGGTTGGTTGGAAGATGGTGAGATTTAGGGGGAAGGGGTCAAAACATGTCCCCTGTCTCTGGTCCCCAAGCGGGGACTGAATGGGAATTTCAAGACTGGGAGCATCCCATTGTATCCAGGGCTGGGCTGAGGGATGTTCGTGGGTACAGGGCTCCCGTGGGCTTGCAAAGCCCCAGCTCCCTCCCTGCCGTGCTGCTGCAGGTCCCAGTGGGCCACTGGCAGCAACAATCCCGTTGCAGCCCCCACGGCAGCGGGAACACTCCGTGGGGCCAAGGACCTGTCAGTTGGAGGGTGGCTTTTTCAGCTGCCCTGCATGAGCCCCATGCCTTGTTCTGCCTGTCCCTGTGTGGGGACAGCAGCCTGGGGTGCGAGCATCCCTTGTGTCCGGAGGCCTCGGGCTGTTTCTGCAGCTGCCCAGCTTCCAGCCAGTGGCTGAGATGCTCAGGAGCAGGGGGATGCTCGGGGTGCTTGCATCGCACCCTCCCTGTGCCAGCGATGGGCGGGAGTGTGGCAGGAGGGTGTGCAATGGGTGAGTGTGCGGCGCGAGGGTGTGTGATGGGCGGGTGTGCAGGTGGAGGCTGTGCGATTGGTGGGAGTGCAGCAGGAGTGCAGTGCAAGCCCGGCAGCTTCCCGGTCCCCACGTGAGTGGTGGCACAGGCGCAGCGGGCGCCACAGCTGCCTTTGCTGCTACCACCACGTGGTCTGGTTCACCCAAGAGGAACGTACACTGATGGCCCGGCTGCCGGCAGGACGAGGCAGGCCTCCGCAGACAACCGC